ACACAGAGGACGAGTGCCGTACGAAGGCTCGCGACGTCACCGCTGCTGCTGAATCTGGGCCGCCAAAAAACGGCCCAGCTCGGTAGGGTGGCAACCTACCGATCCAACAAGTGCAGGAAGCTCTGGCAGTAAGCCTTCTGCGCCGCCAACATCTGATGAAGTCGCTAGCAACAACTCGAAGCAACTAGCATTTCATTCGGACAAACTATACTGCTACCTGGCCCAGAACGCACGAATTCACGACCGTGTTGCTCAGTGTTTCGTGGACAGTGGGTCATCCTTCAACGCAATCTCACCGGAGCTGGCTCACAAGCTAAACGTTCAAGTGAAACAATGCTCAGGACCGCTATCAGTGAAGATCGGAAACAATCGGCGCATCACAATTCCACGCAGACAAGCTGTTGTTACCGTTGACATTGAAGGTTTCCCCGAGTACAAGTCGCCTGTGTACGTAATGCCAGTCCCCGAGAACAAGGACATGCCACTCGGCTGGTCATGGCTTGAACAAGTGAACCCTGACATCGACTGGACCAACCGAACAATATCGTTTCGCAGTGACTCACAGTCGTCCGTTGTGTCCTTCAGGCAGTGCCTACGACACGCCCCAGCTCGAAAAAGGTGGTCGACGACGTCGCCGAAATGGCCACAGTACTCGGGATGATGATGCTCTCCAGCAGTTCTACATACATCATGACTTCGACAGTGCACAAGGGTCAACTCGCGTAGTATCTGCGGAAAAGCTGAAGAAACTACAGCGAGAAGAAGACAACGAATTTTGCTTCGTGATTCAACATGATCCTGACAGTGCTAAGGCCGATCGTCAATTGGCACAAGACTGGGAGGCACTCAAAGGACACCCTGCCGAACAATTGCTGCTTCGCTACAAGGATGTAGGTTTCCGCTGTCAGCTCCCAACGATACCACCAACTCGTTCGGATGACATACGAGCTGAGATCAAGCTAGTTGACGACACTCCTGTAGCTCGAAAGCAGTTCAGACTAAGTGAGGAGATGAAAAAGGCGATTCGAGACTGGATCGACGAGATGTTGAAAGCTGGAATCATACGGCCCTCAAAGTCACCGTACGCGGCACCGACATTCTGCGTTAGAAAGGCAGTCGGTTGGCGTGTGGTTCATGATTTCCGTGGCATCAACGCAAAAATCCGCTTACCCTCGACGCCTGTACCCCGAAAGGAAGATATCTTTGATGCAATGCGCCGTGGCAAGATGTTCTCAGCCATGGACCTGCTATGGGGCTTCTTTCAAGTCCGCTTACGAACCGAAGACCTCCCTTACACCGCCTTCACAACGCCGAATGGGCTATTTGAGTATTTGGTCACACCAATGGGCCTCTCCTGTAGTCCTGATGCGTTCAATCGCCTGATCCAGAAAGTTTTTGCCGAGCAGAGCAGCTTCTGCAAGGCGTATTTTGACGATTTGTTTGTCTACACCGAGACTAATCATGTGGAAGATCACCTTGTTGCTCTCGAAAAGGTTTTAGAGAGGTGCAAGGCAGAACAACTTACGTCAAACTCTCGAAGTGTACATTCTGTGCGTCAGAAATTCCTTGTCTGGGCGATTTCATCGATAGTCGTGGTATTCGGATGGACCCCGACAAGATAAGAGTGATCTAGAATTGGCCTACGCCTCGCACAAAACGTGAACTCCAGTCATTCCTCGGCACCAGTGTGTATGTACTCAAGTACTGCCCAGATTTTGCAGAATTATCCGCGCCTCTCACTGAGTTGATTAAGGGAAAAACTCGAAAGGAGCAGCTCCAGTTCAACGAGCAGCACCGAAAGTGCTTTGAAGAACTCAAGCGTAGACTATCGCAACCGCCAGTTCTCGCTCATCCTGACTTCGATCGAATGTTTTGCGTGAAAATGGATGCATCAGACTTCGCTGTAGGAGGATACTTGTACCAGCTTGATGACAAAGGTGGAGAACAAATTATTGCTTATGGCGGCAGAAAGCTCAGCGAAGCGGAACTAAAATACCCAACTCGCGAAAAAGAGCTTCTCGCAGCTCTGTTTGCAATGCACACGTGGCATGTGTACTTAATTGATAAACCTTTCATGATCAACACGGACCATCGCACACTGGAAACAATTCTTCAGCAGAACACGTGTTCGCAGTGGCTCGCAAGATGGCTCAACGAGCTTGGAATGTACCAACCGTTGTTTAAATGGACCAAAGGGGCCACTAACGTGGTAGCTGACTTCATCTCTCGCAATCCCGACTGGAAGCAGGACTCAACCGCTATTTCTCTCGCTGCACTATTAAAACACATCAGTAACGGCAACGAGAGCAGCGGTGTCGCAACCCACTTGTACGCAAGCCAGCATCACGAGCCATCTCGCATCATACAAGACAAGTGTGTCGAGCTGTACCAGAGTGACGATTACTTCGGTCTTGTCGTGAAGCAACTACAAGCGAAGAACTCCAAGGACGCAGTCCCACCACATTCTGAACTGCCAAAGAAAGTAGACATCGATCACTTCGAACTCCAAGACTCGCTACTGTACTTCCGATCTCATCCATCGCAAGACTGGCGCCTTTGTGTTCCCGACAATCGCGAGCTTCGTGACCGCATTCTTTTCGAAGAGCACGAATCAATTGTCCGAGGACACCCGGGTTCGTCAAAGACTCTGACGTTTACGCAGAACAAGTATTATTGGCCGTCAATGGCTCGTGATATCCGCTCCTACTGTGCCTCGTGTGAAATGTGTATGCGGACCAAGACGTCTCGAAGCAAGGCACAAGGATTATTACATCCCTTGGATATTCCAGAAGATCGGTGGAAACATATCACTATGGACTTCGTGACTTCACTCCCCGAGACCAAGCCAAATCGCTACAACGCTGTGATGGTTGTCGTCGATCGCCTCACAAAGCGAGCGCATTTCGTTGCGACTAAATCAACAGCCACTGTGCAGGACACAGCAAAACTTTTCCTGGGACAACTATCAGCGTCTCCATGGACTGCCTGCTTCTATTGTGTGTGATCGAGATTCAAAATTTATCTCTAAGTTCTGGACAAAACTACTAGATTTACAAGACACCAAGTTAAAACCCAGCAGCGCCTTCAAACCTTCTACGGACGGCCAAACGGAAATTACGAAACGTTACCTTGGAGACTTCCTGCGAGCTTACGTAAATCCACACCAAACAGATTGGAACGAATTCCTCGCGCTGGCTGAGTTCGCGTACAATTCCCGCGTCCACGACAGCATCGGAATGGCTCCATTTGTCGCTGATTTGGGGTATTTACCGCGCTCTGTCAGTGAATTAGCGGTTCCACCTCGTGACAGACCTCGCTCTGCATCCCGATTCGTTGATACACAGCAGACTATCCTAACGGAGTGCCAAGACGCGTTGGAACAAGCACAACAGAGGATGAAGTTCTATTACGATCGGAACCGGCCAGCTATCTCATTTCAAGTCGGCGATGAAGTTCTTCTCGACACCTCCAACTTGGCTCTTCACCACGTCGGTAATGATGGAAAGAGGTCATTGGCTCCGAAGTACATCGTACCATACCCTGTTGTCAAGATTACAACACCCGACACATACCAGATCGGGCTTCCACCAGAGCTCAAACTGCACGACGAGTTTCACGTATCTCGCCTACGACGCTACACGCCAGACGACTCTGCTACTCGTGACAACCGCGTTCCAGTATTGATTACACGCGACGGCAGCCTCGGATTACAGGTCAAACAGATTCTCAAGCATCGAGTTCGTCGCGGTGGTGACGAATACTATATTCGTTGGTATGGCAGTGCTAACAAAGACTCATGGGAACCTGCAGAATCGCTTGTCCAAGTCCGCGGGCTCATCGATGCATTCCACGATCGTGAAAAGCCATCACGGCCCAGAACTCGCTCTCAAGCGGCTCACACCACCACTACGCCGCTTTCCTAAAGGAGGGAGTGTGACAGTACACCATGGAATCCACGACTTCTTTGGCTGCTTTCTGATTTAGCGTCACACGGAGCGCACTACTCATCATGCAGCTGACACCCACGATCAACGGCCAGGAGACTCATCTCGAAGTTGTAGGCAGTTAGCTAGCTTTGCATTTGCTCGTGCGCTCTCAATTCATTCTTAAACTTGCCACTTGAGGATCACCCGAGCTCGAACTCGGCAGAGTTCGTGACAGATAAAGTTTTCAGCAACAACAGCCTAAATCAACAGCGACATCTACAGATTCAGCTAGCTGTAACACTGGAGCGACTAGGTATCTACGGCAATGGTGGGTCTGTTGGGAAACATGCCCGTGGATACGGAATCGGATGAGGGACAGTCACTCTTTGTCTTGTGAAATTTTGGTTGGCTGGAGACATCCTACAAGGTCATGTGCGTGTAGTAGCGTAGGGAGCGGCCTGGTGGTATCGCGTAGTAGACCTGAGTAGTTGCTGCGGAGTTTTCAAATGGCAACCTCCAATGCCTCGCAGCCAGTCAAAGAAAAATCAGTTGGAAAAAAAATCTGCCAAACGATAAGCCTCCAGAGACCCATTTTTGGTCTGATTTTTTAATTTTCAATTGCGGAAAAATCCTAATGATTTGCTACTTCGAAACCCCCTAATACATGAATAGGGTACACAGAGTCTGGTTTTGGCCGCAAACCTGGAACAAAATAATAAAACGTCCATTTCTTTTCGAGCAAGTCTTTTTCTTAAATAATCAAGTCAAAGTGCTTTTTCTTCGTGTCGCTTCACGTTCGCAATAAACCGCAAAAAAAAATATTGAAGGCACAACATGGGGGCGTCGCAATCGCTGGACGCTTTTTTCGGGTCACCGCCCGTCCCGAGCAACTCGGAACAAGTAGATGTGTATCAATACCTACGTCGTGCGGAGAAAGCTGTGTGGCTCACAGGTCCGTTTTGGAGCGACAGCGACGTCGAGACTGCAAAAACTTCTCAGTCGAGTCCCACCAAACTTGGGGCAACACCTAGAGACCCATTCAAGAAAATGGTTTGAAGCTGTTGTAGTCATTTGCAGCTAAACTGGGGCTAATGAGTGGTGTATATAGACTCCGAACGACGCTCTGAGCACCATCCCCGCCATGCTGGACGAGATGTGGGTTTCGCCACTAGTCGCGCTCGTGGATTGCGTGGATCCAATTCCAAGGAGCGCGGGACTTGCATTGCTATCGAGAATTGTTCAGAGAGGTAATGTCGAGAATTGGGGTTGTCACTACTGAGTTATTACTACTGAGTTATTACTGACGGATTTCGAGCAGAGTCGGTGGCCAAGGTTTTTTTCGCTGTAAGAGGAATGGACAAGGTCATGGTATTACTCGACAGTCAAGATCAACAAGCGACACATCTGGCGTTGGAAGTCATTTTCGCTTTGTGCGCCAGTAGCTGTAAGCTGTCCTGGTTTCAAAAACTCTGTAGCTTTTTAAAATCTGATGTAGAATTTGGGCTGTGCAGCGAGTGTGATACTGCCGTTCTGTGAGGCTGGACTTATCGAACGCCTAACCGAGTTGATTAAGGGCGATAACTTGGACCTCGTATTGGCTTCGCTCAAGGTTCTACGACTAACACTGCGGCAAAGTGAGTCATTTTGTTGTCTAGATCATTAGTAAAATGCTGACTTCCATGTCGTTGTAGGTACCGTAAAAGCGGCGTTATCGATGTGCAAAACACTAGAAGTGCTGATGGATTTAGTGCACTCGCCCCAGACTGCAATAGCCAAGACTGCCATCACCTGCATCGGGCTTTCGCTTCCAAATTGTACGAAAAATAGATTTTCTAATTGCTTCTGATCCCTTACTGATGCTTGTGATGTGCAGCCGAGAACTTAGCGGAACTGCTCCGACTTGGTTGTATCGACACTTTCCTGCGCCTCATGTCACCTACAAACTCTAATGCCGACGCTGTCATCTTCGCCTTGTCACTGATCGCTGACGAGACCGACACAATATTTCCGCGTGAGCAGACCACAGCAACACTTGGACGCATGCTCGAGACACTTCGAGGAGCAGCAAAACGATCCCCCGCCGCCAGCGCTACGAGTTTTCTGTTTGCAAGTCTTGCCAAGTCGAGTATTTTTCACTCCGCAGTCTGTTCCGAGACCAACTTGGGCATCCTAGCCAAGCTGCTGGTCGGTGGCTCGCCTGAAGTTCTCGGATCTACCGCTTACGCTCTGGGTATCGTAGCGCTTCATGCGAACGACCGTGTACGGCAGATATTGTTCCAAGTCGATGCTCCACAGAATCTCATCCGGTTGGTGACTCTTTCACTGGATTCATCAGGGTCTGGACGTGACGAAAAAGTGGCGAGACTCGCGATATTTGCACTAGCAACTGTCACAAACGAGGCTTTGGTTTCTCGTACAGGTACATTGGTGCATCCAGAGCTTGCGTCGTCACCGTCAGGAGCATCAGACGCACTGCGTATCAGTACGATCGCATGCTGTGAAAGTATGCAGGGGAGCGATTTCTTACCGCACGTGTATGCTCGAGCGCTTAAGAGACTAGGAACAGGGTCGACCTACGCATTGAAGCTGCTGGTCGCTCTCAGTACAGCGTCTAACGCCAAGGAACACATATGTGAAGCGGAGAGCGTGGCCAGAATGCTGCAGTATCTTCGCGGAGCAAGTGCAGAATTCCTACCCAGTTTAGTGGTCCTCTTTCTCGAGTGCTGCAGCTGTGAGGATGACCACAGTTTGGCTTTCTATAAGCTCGTGGAGACTACCCCTGATGCTCTGCAGATCCTCGGTTCACTGTTCCAGAACCATCAACCGGAGAATCTATTCGGTTTGGCACCATTATTCGGTGCCCTTGCTGGACATTCAACACTACTCAGAGACCACATGAGTTCATCGACTTTCTTTGTGGACCAGACGTTGAATGTTGCTACACGACTCAATCATGAAGCTCTCCACGAACAAGTCTTTGGCTTCTTGGATGGACTCACAGCTCACAAGAACACACGTGCACTGGAGCAGATTTTCGCCAGTGATCCAGACCGTATCGCTAATTTACTTCTAGCATCGCTCAATACCCAAGTGCAGCTCATAGGAGCTACACTGCTGCGTCGTCTATTTAAGCGTCTCAACTCGCGTGACATCCCTTCCACTGCAGCTCAGCGTCATTTAGCGAAGTTGCTATCCAGTTCCGGTGTGAACATCACGATGGCTGTAGCAACGTGTCGAGTTTGGGGGAACCTTTTCCAGTATGAGGACAAGCGGCTCGCGTTCGCTCAGATTCCCGACTCAGTGTCAGGTCTCTTACTATTACTACAGCGATGCATCGGTAATCAACCAGTTTGTAACACAGCAACAATTCATGCCTCGAGCATCAACAGTCAAGACTTGGAAGCCGAGGAAAAGAAGGTCGTGCCATCAGGTCTAAAGCCTCTGTACTGGGTTATCCGGACGACGTACCGGATGGCATGCTGCGAGGTCACCAAGCAGCCTCTTATTGTGGCGCCTCAATTCCTGTGTATTATGGAACTATTTCCCCATGCATGCGATCCCATCGCTCGACTTGCAATCGACACGATGAGTGAGCTCGCAAGATCAAGGACTCCAGGATTGCGTCGTACATTAGCAGTACCGGTGGTGCTTAACGCCATTCAGCAGCTTCTTCGTGATCGTGAACGTGGATCTACTGGACAAGGTGCACTTCCACAACGTCACGTGCTTCGCTTTCTCGGTCTGTTAGCTCGACGAGATGCAGCGATCCAGCATCTTGTCGTGGAGAGTAGACTACTGGAGGCTTTGTTGCTCTTGTTGCATTCTCCATCGACTGCACTGAATGCTGAGCTGCTCGCTGAGTCGTTGGATGCTCTAGCTTGGGTGTGCAGTGCTGCTATGTCACCTACCGATGTCGAGGCGCAAGCTGAGATTGACGATGAAGCTGAGATTGAGACTCTAGAAGGTGAAGCACCAGCTAGACGAGTCGTGGCTACGTCCAAGATGGTGGACTTGTCACTCCGCCATGCCGACTCAGCTCTCGCTCCTGTAGCTCGTGCCAGTCTCCATCTACTGCAACGACTTGCGTGTGAACAGCCAGGAGTTCCTCAGTTTGTATACGAGGCTAATGGCGCTTCAGTAGTGATGCGAGCGCTGCAACAACGGTCTGAATACGCAGTACAACGTCGAGTGTGCGGACTTATACGTCACCTGGTTCATCAACACGACGGGAATCGCCAACAATTCCAAGAACTGGGTGCAACAAGCTTCCTAGTGGAACTCGTAATAACTGCTCAAACGTCTCGAGTAGAAAATGGATCGTCGCAAAAGTTGCAGATCAAAGCACTTCAGGCGCTTGCAGCATTGTGTGAAGGCTCAAGTCCTGCAGCGAGAGCGTCCAAGAAGGAAATACTCGAGTGTGAGCAATCCGCAGACCTTGTACAGCTTGTAAATGCTGCTGATGATGAACGACTTTGTGCGGCTTGGACGCGTGCTCTTGCAATGGGAGTGTTCGCAAGTAGCAACAACCAACGACATCTAGTATCAGCTGGACTTGTGTCTCTACTTACCAAGTTACTACGTCATCCAAGTAACTTTGTGCGCGTTCCAGCTGCTCAGTTACTTGCCTATTTGGCTGAAGCTCCAGAGAATCGTGGCGTTATTTTGAACGAAGGTGGAGACACTCTACTGTTAGCGACCATCGCAGGTCTACAATCTGAACTTCCTGGATTACAGCGGCACACAGCTCTCTTGGTAGCGAATCTAGCGACTCGACATGAAGGGAACAAAGTTCGATTGGGAGCTGCTGGCGCTGCATCGCCACTGGTGGATCGATTGTCTTCTCAACGAAGAAATGTTTTGGAAAATGTATTGCTAGCTGTCGTGAAGCTCGGATCACACGCTGGTAACAAGGTCAAGTTAGGAGGGAAAGTGTGTTTCGAGAAACTATTATCTCTCGTGCACCATGACACTCTTGAAGTTGCTAAAGGTGCAGCCAGAGCTCTCGCTGTGCTTGTGGTGGGAAATGACGCCAACAAGAAGTTCCTTCTTCAATGCGAAACTCCCGTCGTCGCAGAATTAAGTACACTATTGAAAGGATCGAATGGGAGTATCGTGGAGAGTGCCATGCTCGTATTGGGCGAGTTGGCTCCGATGCCAGCTCAAGCGCTCGAGTTGTCGCGCTGCGTTGATGTGCTCTCAGTCGTCAAGTTACTCTCTCACATCAATCCACGCATCACACGTGCAGCGTTGCTCGTCGTCCGACATCTCACTCGTGAGTCTTTCAATAAGACTCGCTTTGGGCTTCGTGAGTGCGTGGAAGCGCTTCTAACTCGGTTAAGACTTGGTCTTAGCGGTACGAGTGGAGCAGATGAGCTGGAGATGATGGAGCTGATAGTCACTTGTCTTGCCAACTTGTCTTTCGCTTCCAGTAATGCATCACTTATTGCTGAACATGGTGACTCGCTACTTCTGTTGTTACAACTCACGACTTCAGCTTTACCTACAACAATGAAAGATTACCTGTCGAAGAGAGAGATGTTGCGTCTGATGTCTCAAGGCGACGGAACAGATAGGAGCACTTCATCGCCTAATAAGGCTCAACAAGTGGATAACAACGACTCGTCTCCACTTCGTGGTAAAGAGGGCGAAGAAATATACGAGAAGATGACCAGAGATTCCCCCAAGAAAGGAGCTATCAAGAGCGATGAACCTCATCACGCTGAGATCGAGTCTCAGTCTCAAAAGCTGGACTTCAGTGCCTTCCCAAGTCTCCAAACTGCTGTACTGGAACAAACGTTGCTGGTTCTCAGCAATTGTGCCGATCAATATCGCACAATTAAGGTTGTGGATACTCTAACTGTCGCTGTGTTATGCCAGGCTCTACATCATTCAAGCGAACTTGTTACGAGGTGTGGATGCTACACTTTGGCCTGTTGGTTGAAGCAGAACACGTCGCTACAAGACGCAGCTACTAAGCGTGGAGCGCTGCAGACTTTGTCCAAGCTACTGACATCTACGAGTCTTGTGGTAGTAGAAGCAGCAGCCTACGTGCTGTCCAAGCTCGCAGCACGAGGCGATAACCCGATGAAGCTGCTGGCATTTGACGTCCCAGCCACACTTGTGCATGGAATTCTGAGGAAATCTGCTAACGTACCGCACGATCGCGTACTGGATCGTGCTGCACGATTACTTGGCACATTGGTACAATTCTCGCGCGTTCGTCAAGGACTTAAAGGCGAAGAAATCATCGCTGATGTGCTTACACCGTTGTTGCAGCTACATCCTCAGACTCTGGGCAAGAATCTCAGTCGTCTTGTACTAGTGCTGCTAGCGGACGACTCGCTCAAGTTCTTCCTGCCTAAGAAGACCGTGTCATTACTGCGAGCCTGCTTTGTTCATCAAGCCACAAGCGCGAAGACGATTCGCAACGTGCTACGTATTTTCGCTGTGCTTGTTACAGTGGAAGAGCACAAGACGACGATCACTCTCGAAGACAGTGGCGAAGCACTTGGACGCATTGTACAAGAACTGCGGGTCAACGAGGGAGTTCTCGGTGAGAACGACGAGACCGTTCTTGGAATTCTTGCGTGTATCGCAGGCACTAGGAAGATCGCAGTGATTCTTCATGAGAACGACGTTTACGTGAGGTTACCGCCGTACATTTTGGTGTCCCAGGACGATAATTCGGTCCCTGAGAACGACACAACATTGAAAACTCGACGTCTTCACACGGTTCAAGTCGCTGCTCAGCTTTGCAAGGCTTTAGACGATCAAGCAGTGCGTCAATTATCCGAACTGGAGTTCACGAGTTTGTTGTTGGAACTACTCCGTGTGGGGCTTCCACCTCCACAGTTACCTGAAGCTGAAGGTGAAGACGCAGCACTGAATACTGCAGCTAGCCCAGCGACGCTCTCGCCGTTGAACTGGGTGTGTCTTGACGTCTTACGGCAATTGTGTTCATCTTCTTACGACGAACAAGCCATCGTAGAGGTGGGTGGTGTGGAACTTCTAGTCGCGTACTTCGAGCTCTGGTTATCCGTGACATCGGGTGTTGCTCCCAATTTGTTCCCTTCAGAAGGTGAAGGTCTAGTACTGTCGTTCGCAGTGTCGCTAACAGCGATCATCCGCACGCTTTCAGCTCAAACTCCTAACCGTGAACTGATGGTACAAGCTGGAGGATTCCCACTCGTCTTGAAAGCTCTTGGTCTTGGAACACCCGAGTTACCAAATCCACAACGTGAGCAGCTCGCAGAAGCGCTTGCTGGGTTAACCGCGTTGCCAATCATGGTGCCATACCTCGAGGCTTCTCCTGATCTAGTGGCTCCATTGTTCCGCTTCATGGTGGCTCCTCAGACCCAGCAATTGAGTCACTTACTGCTGCTAGCACTGCGTGCATTCGCCGACGTCATGGAAGTCTCACCAGCGAGTCGTTCGTACGTATTGGAGATCACTGGAGGTGCCATTCAACCTCTTCCATTCCTATTATCGTGTCTAGAATGCTCCAGTATTTATCCAAGTGATGGCGGCATCGTGAGACTTCTCCACACTATGCGGTCGATTCAACGTTTAGTTACTGATCAAGTTATAGCTCGAGCCTTGGCATCCCTTGACGATCTTCCAGCTATTGGGAAGTTATTATCACTAGTGCTGCCTCTTCCTAGTTACGACGATCGAATGGAGATTGTACAGCTCATGGCTACAGAGACTTTGGGCTACTTGTCGTTCTTCGGTCACTCCCCTCAACTCCGTCTTGAACGCTCAGGAATTACCCGGTTATTGGCTCAAGCAGACTACACAAAGGATGAACGCGTGAAGCCTGAAAACATCGCAACCACTATGTGGACATTATCACTGTTATCAACACCGCAAGTTTCACGCTCAAGTGAAGCTGAAGCAGTGGAAACTACAGCGAACTGTGTGCGTAGCTGGATATGGGAAGATCCTCGTGGACTTGATGTGCTCATTAGCTGTGGACTACGGTCTCCTGAGTATCTGAATCTACCCACATCGGTAGTCTCGGATGTGCTGGCTGTGCTCGTAACAGCGACGGAGAAAGGACCGGAGGCTGATACTGTGCTCACTCTACTTGTTCAAAAGCGAGTATGCACACCCGCTGCAGCTCTACTAGAAGCAGTAGAACCTACCGTTCGCCTTCCAGCACTGCAGCTTTTGGCACGAATACTCAACAAGCAAGTATGGGCGTCGAACGAGCCTTTAAGCACAACGATCGTCAAGAAAGAATCCAGTGACGAACGTTGGAGTGCTGTTCTACAGCATCTGGCTGAATGGCTGCAAGTTTACGCTCAGGACCCTCAAATCTCCCCGTTAAGTGAGCTGCGAGATGCCTACCGTTGTTTAAGCGTTTTGACAGCACACAACGAGATTGCAGTTCAATTCCAGAAAGGAGAAGCCCCTCGTGGTCTCATCAACTTAGTAGCGACGTCACTGCACCATTTCGGTGGTAAACGGCTGCCCAGTCGACCTGAAAGTCTCGTACTTATTCGAAGAGAGTCCGCTTACAGTGAAGAGCCAAGTCCAGAAGCTACCGATACCGCAGAGCGCGCTCGATTAGACTGGACGCTGCAGTTTGCGACTGTGCTTCACGTACTGCGCGTATGTCGACGTTTGATGTCATTCTCGTCTCAACTGAGTGAAAACGCACTCGAGTTGCACGTGCCTCGCGCACTTGACAGTCTTGTACTGCTGCATGATCGCCAGATATTGGACGAAGCTCTTCGTTGCATGCTTCATCTCGCTACGCTACATGGAGAGGAGACCGAGTTGCTGTTCTCTTCCGACCGCACAGTGGCTCGACTTAAAGGCTTGTTACAGAGTGAATCCAGACCATTACAGGCTCGCATCACGCCCATCTTGTCTCTCATGACAACAAATATGCCCACGTTACCAGGATTGTGCAGTATGGATGGCATTCTCATCTTGGCAGACCTTGCTGTCTGTAGCTCAGGCGATGACATCCTTACGAAGACTGGAGATAACACAGCTCTCGCTCTCGATCGTCGTGTCTTTGAAGATTCCTGTACGATGCTGCATGTGATCTTCTCTCACGAAGAAGGCGTTATCCTAGCGTTTGATGTGGCTCAAGTGATGTCGAAGCTCTTTGGAATTGTAGAGAGAATGACTAAATTTTGTATCGCGTCAGGAAATGATGTCGCAGAGGCTCCAGAGCTGCTCCACTTGCCTTTAAGCGTACTTGTCAAAGCCTCATTTGTCCCTGCTGTTCACGTACGTTATCTGGAGTTACTGCCTCGAATATGTCACCTCTTGGATGGAAAAAATGGTCCTGCAAAGCTCACAGGACGGTGGTGTGAGATGCTGCTATCGATCTTGTTTAACGTGTTCGGCTGTCCTTTTGGAAGCCATTCAGCAGCGTCAGTCGAGATCCTCGCACAAGGAAAAAGAGCTCTTCTACCTCAGCTTTTACCGCTGGAACGATGGTTGTCTGTTGTCGATTCCTTCCCAGCATTAGGTCGACTAGTTATTGAGTTGACCCGTGCATTCGTTGGGACTGGAGAGCTCTCTTCCCCATACGCAACTCTGTTCAATAGTGGAGAAGACATCCCAGCGCTTCTTAAGCTAATTGGATCAACCAATGACGAGGTTGCTATCCCGTCTGCTCAGTTGTTGCTAGCGGTGCTAAAACAGCGCGATGTACGTGTTGCTTTGATTGTGGCGGACGGAGTACCTGCTCTGGTAGTAGCGCTATGTCAAGCAAGAAACATCAAGGTGCAGAACCTGTTACTAGCACTGATCCTAGACTTATCCAAAGGTGATACAGAGGTGCAAGCGCTGCTGTTGATCGCCCCCGGTTGTGTCGGACGTCTCGTGGAAATCGTTCAAGAATCGGTGGCTCACGCAAACGATAAGAAAGAGAACAGAAGTAGTCTCGATGAACGACTCATGTTGACGTGTACGCTATTGACAGAGCTATCCCGAGCACTTTATGGACCAGAACGCATCGTAGAAGTTAGCGGGCATTTGCCATTGCTCGCGTTGAGTATCCAGCAGCAAGAATACGATCTCCAAGGAGCTCACACGACAGTTCAAATTCTCACGAACCTGGCAGTTGCTGGCATGACCGTGGCTCCTGGTCTCGCTGCGTCCAAACTACCCGCACACTTTCTGTCGTGTGTACTCTCAGACGAGAAAGAACTTGCGAAATCAAGCAAGAAGCAAGTGTTGCCATTAAGATGGCGACTGGCGTTGACTGGGTTGGTCGCTCTAGCGAAAGCCAACCGCGAATTACGAGCTACACTCGCGCAGAGTAAACCCCTAGTCGTGTTTCTTGAAAGTGTTCTGCAAAATCCAGAACAAAGTGGAGACAAGAAGGATAGTGCGTCAACATTATCTCGCGATGCATTACTACTGCTCTACTTGATGAGTACTGTTGGTTGTGTCGATCTGGTGAATCACTCCTCAAGAGAAATACTATCTCGTGTCTGCCGTATCATCGTTCAAAACTTGGCTCTTCACAAAGAAAGCGATAAGTTGCAAGATGAGGAATTTGCTCCAGTGGAAGTCACGCGTGGGTTAAAGTTACTTGCAAATCTATTAGACGTGGCGCACAACCAGGAGACCCAACTCTCCTGGTATCCAGAGAAATTGCTGGATCTCGCGGCTCTACTTGAAGCTCGAGTAGCAGCTCACCAAACACCCAAACGACAGCTCCCGGCATTGCGTGTACTTCGTGGTGCATTCGCACTAGCAACCACAGGCAAAAACAAGACTTTCTACTATCCATTATCATCGAAACTACTCGCCGAGCTACTGACCGTTCTACTCGTAAGTGCGTCGCGTCAGCACCGCGAAATGGCCCAATGTGTCGTGGTTTTAGCTTTCCAAAACGACCCCAAACGCGCTCGTGAGTCTGTAGGAGACAATCAAATTCTAGAACAACTTCTGATTGTATTCACGCAACCAGGTAATGATGCGTCAGAGTTGGCTGTAGTCCTCACGCAAGTGCTGTACGTGTCCATCGCGCGAAGCTTCGTCGTCAGTCAACGATTTCTCGCCAAGCTACCAGCCTTACTGGCATCGTATGATCACGAGAACGATGACACCAATCAGCTTTTAAAGAGAGCGTTGAGTATTTACCTCAGTTTCGTGCACTCGAGCTGTCCGCCAACATCAGCCATGAGATCGGGAATATCCGACATGTTGCGTTCCGAAGGAGATCCACGTCGAGCACTGACCGTTTTGGTTCATCAACTACTGCTGGTACATCCTCCTGTGTGTATATTGACTCGATCTTCAGTGACATCGTTGTGTACGGAGGATATGATGCTGTGGACTTGTATTGCCGAAAGCGTGAGTCCATTAACCCCGGCACTAGCGGCAGTATTCACTGCTCAAGCCTCTATTTCGACTTGGATGTGCTTTCTTCGAGATTGGTTTGTTTGTGTGGAAAAAGCCGAGAATCCGAGCGACGAAATACTACGAAATTCGTGTCGAATGTTGTCTATAGTCGCGCATTTACCCGTTTCTGAAGAACCGGAGCAGCTAGTTCAAGAGCGAAGCAATTTATGTTGTCGGTGTCTTGCAGTGCTGAGTTGTGGAGGCGGTAAGCTACCACCTCGTGTGATCGAAGGAGCCTTGCAAGCTCTACTGGATGTGCGTGAAGCATGGGGAGATACGTTCGTGCTTACCGGATGCAGCACATTCAACGGCACAGCTGCGTTGCTACCCGAACTACTGCATGTTTTCCAAGTTCCAGAGCGTGAATTCGATCAATCTCGTCATTTGGTTCTCCAGTTCTTGTTATTGTTGGCAAGTACTGGACACTTTATCGAAGAGATGAAAGCTGCTGGAACACGCAGTGCAGTCGAGAACAACCCGTTGATCTCACCGGATGACAAGGCTCTACCTGTTGCATTGTTGGGTATGCTAGGATACAGTGCTGATCTCAACGAGGAATTTGCTAAAGCTCTGGAACAATTCGACACTGCTAGTTCTGAAGCGGTACGACGAGAGCATATGGCGTATCTGTTGCGTTTCCTCGAGCGCTACGCGTTAACTCATGCACCAACGAAAGAACAAGCTATCGATTCCTTCATGACTTACCTTGTTGCTGATGCTGAAAAGGCCCAAACCGCGGCCATGGCGACGGAACATGAACCGGAAGTGACGAAGGATGAACAAGCGTCCGCCAGTAAGCTGGCTTTAACAATTGCAGGTGATTGTCTGGCGTCTCTAGTCAGGATTTCTGGCTGGGGTCCGCCAGAGCGAGGTCTATCTTCGACTTTAAGTAGCTTTGGAGAATTGTATCTTGCTCGCTGGGATCTCAACGCTCTGTTAGCTGTAGCATTCGCACGACAGCGTGGAGACGAAGACAATGACTTCCAGGAGAGACCTCGACTGGCATTCGCTCAAATAATGCAGGTTTTAGAGTTGACAGCTCTTGTTAGGGCTCAACTAGAGGAGAACGCGCGAACTGGAGGCAGCGGCGTTGTCGTTGTCAGTCAAATCAACACGCGATGGCTCTGCAACGCCTTCATGTTGGTGACTGGAATGTATCCATCCGATCGCAGTTCACAAGCGAGGAACGACGACTTTATTCTGGTTGAGCAAGTGCTTACGCTTGTGTATTGGCTGGCAGTGAACAGCTCCATTTGTTTCGAAGATATTTGTCGAAATGCTGCCCAGCTTCGTGCTTTCTTTGTGCCATTAACACCAGTTTTCTGCGGAGATTTCCATGGAGATAAAGCGATGGAGCTCTTCTTAAGTTTATTGGAAACGACAGTGAATACTCCCACACCTGGAGCTGAAACGACAGCGAGTATTGACGAGCTGCTGGTTGAGTTACTCAAGTTTCTATATGCTCAAGTTGACAATGTTTTACTTCAAAATGTTCGTGCTCGCTTGCTGCTTTGCGTTCTTGTCATATTGCACCGTACTGGTGACACTGGACGTGCTGCTTGCGTCGCCTATGAACGCGCAATGCAGCAGATTCTGTGGCATATTTATGCAACATCCGCCACTGAGCTCCAAGCGCGTTGCAGTTGGGAACTCCTAGGTTCGCTCTGTGAATTAGACCCTGCTATCACTGCGCTATTTAACCTTGATGCTATCCCCGTACTTCTTCGCGAATGTGGCTGCGATCCTGGTAAGCAACCTCGACCGTCCTCGGATAGTTGGAGGCATTCGAAGCGAGCAGTGGCTTTCAGACAAGCTGAGGCTCTTAAGTGCTTATCCCGCGCAGCAAACACACACGACGAAGTGCTGTTGAAAATCGGAGAAGCTCCTGGGATCGCCGCTGTGCTCTTTGGTGCTTTAGCAAGTCATGTTGTAAATTCCGACACGAGTCGGAAATCCAACACCAAAGAGTCCGTACTGGTGGATAGCGCAAGTACTCAGGCTCATGCCGCGCACTTGATCGCACGAATTGCAGCTCAAGAAGACCTTCGGGCTTCGTTGGTATCGCCTGAGAACATCTCACTGCTCATTGAATCCCTCGAGTCGGTGCATTTGCCTGTGGTTTTACACGCACTACAGGCTCTAGCTCACCTCTGCGCATTCTCGCTCTGTCTGGATGCACTGGTACGTAACGCTACGGTACCAGTACTAGCTCAAATTCTCTTCTCACCGCTAGTAGAGACACCTCGTCGCCGTGAGATTGAAGCATGTGTGCTCGCTCTACTCGGTAAAATGTGCGACCGCAGTCAGATAGTAAGTCGACGAGTTGTATCCTCCAACTTGTTGCCAAAACTATGTGAGTTTCTGATCCTTGAGAAGGAACTCGAGTATATTCAACAAGAACCTCAACCAGATGAGTTTGGCGTACATAACAACGCTGTGTGGATCGTTTACAGCTTGTCCAAAGACGCCGAACTCGTCCCCAAACTGGTCGCGCACAACATCCTTGAAACACTGAGTGACCAACTACTGGAATACGATCAGAGTTCTACTCAACGTAAGGCATTGGGGGCAATGAGTCGGCTTGCAGGTGTCGCTGAAATGGATGCAACATTCCTTCAGTCTTTGATCAGCCAAATTGTTGAAAGTGTTAGACGTAACGTCCCTGTACCAGAAGCTCATCGCTCTGTCACCAACGCGTTAGCAGTGATTAATGCCATCCTGAAAGCCAGCAAGAATCGTTACTATCAACAGCGTCACCGTCGACCTCAGAGTCAACAGCGTCGAGCACGAGATATGGATGAAGTTAACATCCGACAATTGCTTCTTAAAACTGAAGGCTTGCGCGTCGCACTCGACTTACTTGGCTCAGTAGATTCTCGAATTAAACTGGAAGCTTTCCGTGTGGTGTCCGAGTTTATTGAGGATCATCCAGATTTTAACGAGGTGCGCGAACTGCTTCTTGGGTCAGAAGAACAAGGCGGTTCTCACGCTTTATTGAGTCTGGTACGAGCTCTTTTGGATGAAGCTCGTTCGATCACAACAGCAGGTCGTGGAAAAAATGATCTGCTCCTGGCAGTTATGACCTTGTTGAATATGCTTCTCACTGACGAAATACTTAAGACGAAGCTCACTTCGATGACGTACGACGTGGTGCTCCAAGTGGTAGTGGTCGTCTCTGAAATGAACAACAATCTGCGAGTGCTTGGTGAAGCTCTCAAAGCGTTAACAACCATGACTCAAGCTGGACAAGTGACTGATCTCTGCCCCGAAGCAGCTCTAGTGAGCAGCATTGAGCCCCTTGTAAAGATTCTGCAAGTTTTGAACGCAGCTGAAGGCGGAGCTAGCACTTCCATGCGGTTAAACGCATTATTTCTGCTGGTTAACTTTGCTTCATCGGGTCAATGTCGGAGTCGTATGGCACATTGTGGTGCATTGGAAGCTCTTCTTGGGATTATCCAGTCTCCTGGTGGGGCGACTCATGATGATCAGTTTGTTCAACTTGCCTTACTCGGTGTAGCACTCATGACTAGCAGTGGTATTAGTGACGCCGCTGCTGTTGTTGATTTATCCAGAGCTATTGGCAGTCTGGTACGGTTATTAAGTTCCAAGAGTCCAAGTATTCAAGCCAATGCTGTCTGGGTCGTGTCTAATATTTCCTCGGAAGGTACGATTACTATTTTTTCACGTTCATGCATATCAGACACTAAATCTCGTTATTTGTTAGTGAGCTTAAAGAGTGCCATTGTGGCGCGTGGTGGGCCAACAGTATTGCAAGCCATGCTAAACGAAAATACGATCAGTGACGTACCAGCGTCTAGCAGAGGAGGAGCACGTCCTGCATCATCGACCATGAGGATACGCGAATACGCCCCAAAAGCTATAAAAGCTCTAGGATTCGCCCCACTCATGCCCCCAGGTCCTCCGAAGTGAAACCACTATAGATAGGTACATATAATTAATAACATGTCGAACGAACTAACTTGGAAAATACAAGAACACATCGATCGAAAAAGTATTCACTTCCGATCCTGGTTATTGTCGCTGGATGCACAACCAACCAAGTCTCAATATTAGTGAGGAAATCAAGATGTTCCTCCACTCCAAGTTTCTAAGCAATGATAACTCGTATATGATGAGTTGAGGAAAGTATAAGGGTAAGACGCTCAAGCAGATTAGTCGCATCGACTCTAATTGTATCGATTGGCTCCGTAAGAATTCATGTCCTAAGCTTGTCGAAGCTTTAGAGGTTAACTAAAAAAACTCTTTTTTTCAATCCAAACTAAGCCTTGGTAAAATCTAAAATTTCGCCGGTTAAGCGATCTAACGTTAGTTCCTGCTCACTCACAACCAATAGAATCGTGCTTGTACCCTGACATCCATAAGGCGGTCGAAAAATGTTCGTTGTACTTCATTTGATGCAAAAAACATTGCATGCTACCGGAAGCACTGCAGTCGTTTCTGGGTGCCTACCGGGGATTTCTAAATCTTACTCGAAATCGTGTCCTCGCTGGAATGGTGTTGTCAATCGCTACATAAACATGTGTATTAATAACTAAAAGCCTTCTGACGGCGCTCGTTTCCATTCGAGAAATGTAAATTATCCGTTGTAAAATGACTTCTGTAAGCTACTGATGACGAGGCCTTCCGCCAGATTCGACGTGTTGAGAGTCTT